ATCAATTCTTTATATTTTTTGTATCATTACTTTTATTTACAGACAAAATTTAGAAGTGAGAAAACTTCCGGATTTAATGAAAATAAGAAGGTAGCAATGGATAATTTGGTCATCATTTCGCCTAAAAGATTAAATTCACTTCATTAATTTAATTTCATTTTCGCTTAAGAAGATTAAGAATTCTGTGTATTCATATGTGCATTAGGGTGTTCGATTATTCGCCTTTTTTACAAAACCGGTTTTCGAGTTACTCGAAAAGTTGCAATTTGAAAAAAAAAAACGTTTTCCCGATTGAGAAATTAAGTAAAACGCCGGTTAGACCGGTTTTCTTTTACTTAGTTTCCATACTTTATTGCATTTTTTCTTACTTTTTCGCATTGAGTAGTAGGACTTAGCATGGAGTTGAAGACGTCGATAACGATGTTTAACCGCAGATTAGTTTTAACCAGACATTGAGTAACCCTTTAGGGTTTTCCTTAAACTGGAAAAAGCCTTTAAAACTTCGAAAAACTCTAAATTTTTTATTGAGGCGTCAAAAATTAAAAAAAAAAATAAAAAAAAATCGATTTGTTCGATGGAAAAATCCGATGTTCGATATTCAAAAAGTCATGATTAAAAAAACGCCTAAATAATCTCCAAAAAGCCTGTGGAAATCGGTTTGGAAAAACCGAGCCAATCACCATAATATACATGCATGTGCCAAGTACTAGAAAATGCAACTCTGCAACCTCAACTACTTAGCATCAACACGACACCTGACGAAGATACAAAACGGACAGTTGAAACAAGCAAGTGTATATAATCTTGTGCTGTACAATAATTAACATTTTAAAAACTGAATAAATTGATATAAATGAACACCGCTTATCCGGAATATCTTGACAATTCTCTGAAAGTGGGACAAACCAGAGAAGATAAGAGATCTAACTCTCGCAGAATTGCGTCAGCGCTTGCGGGAATTGGAACTGCCCACTGCCGGTAACACGGCAAAGCTTATCTAATGGCTATGCGCGCAACGATTTAACGAGAGTTTCGAAAGTGCTATGAACGTAAGTATTGAACGCCGGTTGCGCTAATTAGAATGCACAATCAACTAATTACGCGTTGAATCGAGTGTAGAAGTGAATTGTACCAATTCAAGAGAAGTGCAGGAAATGGTGGAAGGTAATCATTGTCCTGAAGCAGCCATTGCATCATCGCCAAAGCAGTATGATGTGGAAGCGAAGCTATCGTTATGCCAAGCTACCAGAATGTTCGGTACAGCGCCTACATTTGAACTGACGCCGACAGTTGGAGAAGGGGAAGGGTTGGCGACGACATGCCAACCTTGGCTGACTTCCAAAACGTATCAATACAATGTTTGGAAACTTTTATACTGCGGTATTCAAACTGTTTGTACATGCAGAGTTGCGACACATTGCAACCTTATACATTGCATATTTTAAATATTCAATTTAGCAATGAACAATTTTTCTGAATTTTCCATTTTTAAAACACCAATGGTAACCAAAAACAAACGAAGCATCAACTTTGTTTCTGATGCGCTGATTGCTCTAGCGATGCGTTTCGATAACTTTTCGAATGCGTTTTGGAAAAGCATACATTGTCAACGTTTTGTAGTTCGGCGTTATGGGACATTATACTTTGTACGTATGCAAAGCAATTGACGTTTTGGAAGTCAGCCCTTCTTACTCTAATGCGGCACCGACATTATCATATGCAAGGGAAATGTACACACGGGATTTTCGAGCGACGAGTGTTTTTTCTCTTTCTTGTGCACATGAACAGTAAGCGGTCAGCTACAATGAACCAGCGGTAACAAGCTATATGTTTGGCTCAACAAGGGCGCCGGTGTATTGTCCGTACAGCGTAGAAACAACAATGCCACTCCACAACACGAATGTTTTGTCGATGCCGCGACATGTGCAGTTTACTGAAACGAATACAACAATGCCAACATATGCTTGTCAAAGTTCAATACCGACACCAACACAACTTTATGCAAATGGGCAGCGTGGTGTAGGGGTTGAGTTTGGGAATATACAAGACGTTATTGCTATTCTGCCAACATTCGACCCGAGTGTTAAAGACTTGTCGTCCGTTCAATTTATAGGACGAATCAAGCAGCTTCGCTAGGTTTATGGTTGGAGAGATCGTGTGTTGTTGTTTTGAGTCAGCACAAAGCTTAAAGGGTGTACCAAATTGTGGTTAGATTCTGCATCTGCGGTGTATGTAGACTGGGAACAGTTTGTTAATGACTTTTTACGTAAATTTCCCGCATAACAAATATGGCAGATATTCATATAAAACTCATAATATGCGCCGCATGCTAAACGAAACTCCGGAGGTGTTTTATCATCGTATTTTGGCAGTCGGTAGACAGGGTGCATTGGACGATCAGTCAATCGTCAAGTACGTAATTAATGGACTTAACGACATTGATATGCGATGGAGCTTATCAGTTAAACAATTCGAAAATTGTTATGAACTTTGTTACGTAACTCTGCGGCCGCATCCACCCACATGCTTGGTTCGCCACGGGGTACGCTTGCTTTTAGCACGAGCTAGCTCGTCGGGCTGTGGGTTGCTGTGATCACCGCTGCATGGAACCACACCATACAAAAACTCGTACCCCTCTTCTGCTTGATAGGGACACCACATACCCACCCTCAATTATTAACCCACCCCTACCTTGACCCCATTCAAAGGCTCTTGCTGCCACTGGTATTATATGGCCGGCGATCATCTTCCCTCCCTACCATGGCCGACAGTGGGCAGAATCGTCCTCGACCCCGAACTATAAGCCGCGTGTCGCCTACGCTTTCATTCTACCCCGTCCATCGTCCAATGTCCGTCCGTCTACACGCCCACATCTGGAATCAATTTTCACACGTTAATTCGATTAACAATCCATAATCAATTTATTCACACAACCGCTTACTCACTACACGTTATTCTTAAACTATGTATGCTGCGTGAACGCACCTTATAATTCAAAATTTATTTATCTAAATCACTCACTCTGGGAGCAACATCCACGAACGAGAAGCAAAATGGATCATGCGATAGCGTGCTCATAGTGGAGCAATGACGTTCTCTTACGCCAGCGCTATATATATATGTACATACATATGTGTACATACACGAATACCTGTTCGAGCTAAAGAGTTTTTGTCAGTCGCCGTTCTACAGTCGTCATCTCCACTACAAAAATTGATTTCCTAGCAGTTTTATTTGTTTATCAAACTAGCATAATTTACAAGTTCCAGCTACAATAAAACAATATCAGTTTATTTGTTGTAAAGACTAAATATCGTTGTTAATAAAGTCATATTAATTAAAAATAAAACTAACTACAGTTGTCGGCTTCACCCTTTGTATACTGCGAATCTGCGCACAAACATTTGGTGCCCCGGGTGAGGCTAATCTGCAAAATTTGCATTTACAACGATAACACAATTGACATTTTAGCAAATGTTTAATGGATAACATTATCATCAAACTGTGTCACTGTGAACAATTTGGAGCATCAAATCGAATAGATAACTGTGCAAATACACCGGCTCATCATTAGTTTTTCTTCTGTCGAGGTGATATCGTTCACCACAAAGCAAATCGATCCCGTTGTTGCTGCTTTCACATTGGATTCCACTGCTCTGTCTCGCAAATTTCGACCAACAAATTATCATCGTTGGCTCGTTTACCGTAATCGCAGTAGGCAGCACATAAAGAACAGTTGGCGCTGCAATATCATCGAAGAACATCGCAGATTGACTTTCAAGTGACCTCTGCTTTGGACACAAAATCAACACCACAATTACTCGGATCACAGCGAACGTTTGAGAAAACGAGGTGAGTGTGTACTTATTGTTGTCTTGAGTGCTTGGTTTACAGCAAAATGAATTCCGAAACTTCACCGTTGGACATCTATACATTGCAATTGGATTTATATCGTCAAGTCAACACGGCGCTAAAAAACTTCAAAAAGGACCCTGAAGCGCGAAAAACTATTACATACTTTGAAACCAGAATCGAAACATTGACGCATTGCTACCACAAATTTGAGAAAAATCACGCTCAACTACTTCGGTCGGAACTCGAGACCGATCACTCCTACTATACTGAGGAATTTCGAGGAATTGTATTTATCGGCTCGAAGTGAAATCGTTGAAGCATTCAAAATCAAATATCCAATGACATTATTCTATGGCAGACCCAAGCGCAGCAAATAATCAAACACTGGCAAGAAACGAAACAATTGCACCGGCTGTTCGATTACCGAAATTAACAGTGCCAAGCTTTAGTGGTAGCTACACCAACTGGCCTGCCTTTTATGATGCTTATCTCCGTCTAATTCCTAATAACATTCAAATTTCTAATATCGAGAAATTTAATTATCTTCGCCTAGCTTGGCCTGATGGTCTCGATGATGATATTATGAAGTTGTTAATAATTACAACGTAACATGGCAAACGTTGGTAGGTCGTTACAATAATTCTAGAGTTTTGTTTACTCATTGTATGCAATTGTTTTTATCTCAACCGAATGTGGCCAAGGAGAATTCAACAAGGTTGAAAAACTTAATCGACACATCACGTTCGTGCCTCAGTGCATTACGCAATTTAGGTATCAAGGTTGATGAATGCGATCAAGTTTTTGTACATTTTCTTATAAGTAGACTACCTCGTGAAAGACATCACTTCTGGGAACAAGATTTGGGAAATTCAAAGGATATTCCAACATTTAAACAATTTTGTGACTTCATAGAAGTTCGTTATCGTACGCTCGAGGCAATTGAATTAAAATCGAGCTATAGTGACTCAAAAGTGGCTTTTTCTGTCCACCAAAGGTCGAGTTCAAAATCACAATCAAACCTTAAACCTAATTTTCGTCGGGAGACAAGGGTGAACTATACTACAAGTTCGATCGACAGTAAACACATTAATTGTACCGCGTGTAAAGAAGCGCACATCATTCGACGTTGTCCGAAATTTTTAGCAATGGATTGTTTCGAGCGCAAAACTATCGTTGATAACAACAAGCTTTGCGTCAATTGTCTTAGTTCTACACATTTGATTTCTACATGCCCAAGTAATCGGAACTGCCAACAATGTGGTAAACGACACCACACATTATTGCATTTTCCTCCACCCATAAACAATTCATCATCATTTGCCCGCGAAGCGGCGACATCGCCTACGTCCTTATCAACTAATCGTACCATCAGTGCTAATCGCATTCGCTCGAAAATTGTCCCATTACTGTCGAACGTAACCAAGTTCACTTCGAAAACCAATGTACTTTTACCCACAGCGGTAGTCAAAGTTAAGTGTGCTGACAGCTCTGTCATTTTATTGCGTACCTTCATCGATCAAGGCTCCTCCGGAGCTCTAGTTAGCGAGCGTGCTGCCCAAACACTTAAGTTGAGACGCTGGCCTATCAGAACTGATATCAAACTAACAAATGGTCAATGCACATCGGGAAAATTCATCACTCAATTTTCAATTCAGTCGCGAATCGATGAAAATTTCCAACTCGACGTGATAGCTTCAATCGTTAAAAATGTTACCGAAGATTTACCAGTCAAAACTATCAACTATCATGATTGGCCTCACTTACGTGATCTTGAATTGCCTGATCCCGAATTTTATCGATCAGCACCTATCGATTTACTTATCGGATCAGACCTATTTTCGGATTTAATCATGGAGGGTCTACGAAAGGGTCAAAGCGATGAACCCATTGCACAACAAACAGCTTTCGGCTGGATTGTATCGGGTAAAGCAATATCAATTTCAAAACCGGAAACATCAGACATCATAACAAATTGTTCTCACATTTCATTGAAAAATTTGGATGCGTTTGTTAAGCAGTTTTACGCTCTTGAAAGTATTCCAATGGAGGAACAATATACACCTGAGGAGATATGGTGTCAAAACTACTACCAAAACACTACAGTTCGTAAGCCAAATGGCAAATATTTAGTACGTCTGCCATTGAAAACGCGTTTTGATCCTAATTTGGCGTTAGGAAAGACACGCCAAGCAGCATTTAATCGTTTTTATTCACTTGAGCGTAAATTCAACAACAATCCCAACATCCGAGATCAATACAATGCAACAATTAAAGAGTATTTCGATCTCAATCAAATTAAGCATGTCACAACTACCGAAGAACAATATTTGCAGTTCCACAACTATCAACCATCGTATTCATGTTGCACATTGCCTCATCATGACGTGATTAAGGAAGATAGCCTGACAACAAAGTGTCGCGTTGTTTATGATGCTTCAGCCAAATCTTCCAATGGTAAATCATTAAATAACATTCTTTACACTGGTCCACGACTCCTAAACGATTTGCTAGCAGTTTTATTGAACTGGCGTCTACATGTTTACGTCATCACTGCGGACATCGAAAAAAAAGTTCTGTTGTATCGATATGCATGAAGAAGATTCTGAATACCAACGAATTATTTGGCGCAACCCAGATGGTCAAATTACAGAATATAAACTTACAACGGTAACATTCGGCACCGCGTCAGCACCATACTTGGCAAACGAAACTATACATCGGTTAGCGCGCGATGAACGTCAGCGTTATCCGTTGGCCGAACCAGTGTTAATGAGAGAGACTTACGTCGATGATGTTTACACAAGAAATGAAACTGTGGAACAAACTATTGAAATTCGGAATCAAACACAAGCAGCCTTAGCTTCAGCCGGCATGAAACTTCACAAGTGGGCTAGCAATTCGACGGAATTACTCAAATTAATTCCCCCAGACCAACATTGTAGTTCGACTGCTCTCGAGTTAAACAGTGATGAAACAATGAAAACATTAGGCATGCGTTGGCAGCCAAATAGCGACAGTTTTCGTTATAAGCTCAATTTTGATATCAGTGTCAACCATAAATCCGTTACAAATCGTACCGTGCTTCCGGCAATATCGAGACTATTTGATCCTTTAGGCTTGATTAATCCCGTTATCGTCAATGTGAAGATATTTCTGAAACATTTGTGGTAGTTCAACTTAGATTGGGACGATCCTCTTGCAGAGGGCTTGCTCAATGAATGGAAACAAATTGAATTCGATCTACAAGTTATTAAGGAAATTCAAATTCCGCGCTGGTTGAAATATTTACCGTCCACAATCGAATTCGTCGAAATTCATGCATTCAGTGATGGTTCCACACAAGCTTACGCATCCGACATATATCTTCGCGTTAAAGATGAACAGGATAATTATCATACTAACATTATCACAGGCAAAAGCAAGGTAACACCAAAACCACCAATATGCATTCCTCGTATCGAACTCTGTGCAGCAGTGTTAAACATCAAACTGGTCAAATGGGTACTAAAACACATAAATATCCCCGGAAACCAAATAAAGGTCTATTATTGGACGGATGCTACAATGGTTTTGTCCTGGATAAGAGGTGATATCAATCGCTGGCCTGTTTTCGTCGCTAATCGTATTGGACTCATTCATACCGAATCACACTTCAAGCAATGGCATCACGTTTCGACACATGAAAACCCTGCTGATTACTCATCAAGAGGTTTAACACCAGCTCAACTTATAGATTGCGATTTGTATTGGCATGGCCCGACTTGGTTGTGCAAATCTAAAGACAAATGGCCTGTTTCGGATTGGACCTTTGTAGAGGAAGAAAACCTCGAACAATTAGTCAACGTTGCTGCCTTTGTTCGATCGATACTCGTCTTATACTCGTTTGGTACGCATCACTGCAATATTAAGGCGAGTTAAGCACAATCTTACAAATTCCCAAAAAAAATCGTCGATTAGGTTCACTAACAGCTGCCGAGTTACACGACAGTCTCATTTGTTTAGTTCGGATTATTCAGAAACAATGTTTTTACGCCGAGCTTAAGGCGCTTTCAAGACACGAAATAGTGTCAAGTAAAAGTGATCTTATCAGCTTAACTCCGTTTCTAGACGATAACAAGATTATTCGGGTGCGAGGTCGTTTACAGCACGCGAAAATTCCTTACCGTGAAAAGCATCCGATCATTATACCGAAAAATCATCGTTTTACGCAGCTACTAATTGATTTTGCTCATCAATCAACACTCCATGGGGGAATTCAACTTACCTCAGCATTTCTTCGCAAACGCTTTTGGATAATTCATGTTCGCAAAACAATCGCAGCTAGAATTAAAAAATGCATCGTCTGTTTCCGTCAAAGACCGCAATGTTCGACACAGCTAATGGGAGATTTACCAGAACCAAGAGTTACAACAAACGTTCGTCCATTTTCGGCTACGGGTGTTGATTACACAGGAGCCATTGAACTCAAAGCATCACGTTATCGCGGGCATACCACATACAAAGGCTACATTGCCATTTTTATTTGTTTAGGAACTAAAGCTGTGCGTCTCGAAGCCGTTTCTGGTATGTCAACTTATGATTTTTAGTGCATTTTATTGGTCGCCGCGGTCTTTGTCATGATATGTATAGCGATTGCGGCACAAACTTTATGGGTACTGACAAGGTACATAAAATACAAGCACAAAAATTTCGTGAGTCACTTCAAAGTGATATCGTACCATTTTTGGCTAACAAGGGCATCCAGTGGCATTTTAACCCGCCACATTCGCCAAATTTTAGGGGATTATGGGAAGCAAATGTAAAGGCACTAAAACTTCATTTGAAACGTATTTGCAATGGTACACCGCTCACATTTGAAGAACTATCCACAGTACTGGCAAGAATTGAGTCGTGCCTAAATTCTCGACCGCTGTGCGGGTTAACAACAGACAGTGACGACCGGTAACACGTCACCACAACACAAACAAAAATAATACTAGAAAATAACACAAATAAAAATAACACTGACAAAAATAACACAAACAAAAATAACACAAACAAAAATAACACAAACAAAAATAACACAACCAAAAATAACATAAACAAAAATAACGCCGAGAGGTGTTCTCTGCAAAAGGTGTTCAGCCCCTTGTCTTCGCAAAACAGAAAGAGAATTCTACTTTGTGAGGGTTATAATCCCTAATTGCGGCCGAAGGCCGCCTACGCGGGAAGGTGTTCTCTGCAAAAGGTGTTCAGTCCCTTGTCTTCGCAAAGCAGAAAGATAATTCTACTTTGTGAGGTTATAATCCCTAATTGTGGCCGAAGGCCGCCTACGCAGAAAGGTGTTCTCTGCAAAAGGTGTTCAGCCCCTTGTCTTCGCAAAACAGAAAGAGAATTCTACTTTGTGAGGGTTATAATCCCTAAGCGCGGCCGAAGGCCGCCTACGCAGAAAGGTGTTCTCTGCAAAAGATGTTCAGCCCCTTTTCTTCGCAAAACAGAAAGAGAATTATACTTTGTGAGGGTGATAATCCCTAAACGCGGCCCAAGGCCGCCTACGCAGAAAGGCGTTCGCACACTCGTAAATATCATACACATATATATATATAACTCAGTTGAATAATAACACGCAATAATATGCTTTGCACTTTATTTTATAACATTGATTTTAATTCATCTATTACGCTAAACAACATATATTTATGAAGAAAGATTATATGCAACAGCTTTCAAATACTGCATTAGGTACCCTCAGATTCATACCTTGCCACTACATTTTCTAGTCTAGTATCTAGATCTCGATAAGTTTTACGCTTCTTCGATGCAATCGATCTTCCAGCCATATGCTGATCCAACATTACTTGGGTCAGTTGTTGTTCTGCCTGTAGTGCTACAATGAATTTCCCAATAGAGGCATGAGCGGCTGACACACGCCTATTGAAAGCATTATGCCAGCCCTCTACTGCATTATTGGTTCGTGCCAATTGATTCAGTACTGCTGAGTAAACATTCCAAAGATAAATTGGGAAACGAGGTTGACGCCAAGTTCCCCGGTGTTCATAACCGATCCAGTTTTCTGTCATATAAGTAAGGACTGTAGAAAGATCTGCTGAATGTTTACGATAATAGCTACTTGCAACTAGCTCCTGATACACCTTCACTACATCCTCGTGATATACGTAAGCCAGAGCCATTAACATCTTGATGTGTAAGGCAAATTTTTCATCTTCGCCATAACGTTTCTTCAGTCCACAAGTCTGTAAGCAGCTTATGAGACACTGAGTAAAATGAAAGTAACAACCTTGCACTGATATGTCTGGAAACTGGCCCTCAACTGCATTTACAAAACCCAATTCAAAATCAGTGACAACTACATCCGGATTTAGTTCTGGCTCTTGCTCTTTCAATTTCTGCAGGATTTTGACGTATAGCTTCTTGGTCTTCTTTGGGGCCAATATATAAACTAATGGCAAAACTTTGTGGTCGATCATACCATGTATAGTATATAGCTGGCTGAAAATAGACGGTACCAAGGCGCATCAATTACAGGTGATAGGGATAGAAGCTGTGCTTCTTCTTATGAGCACGCTTGTGTCAAATTATCGTCTGTTTTGCTTTATTTACATATCCGCGTATACATACACATATACGTATATATATACCCTGCAAACAAATGCTCCCCAAATCTTTAAGAGTGTCGGAAATTTGTTACGATTCTTTTAGAAATCTGTAAAGAACGCAATATGAAGCGGTTGACAAGAACTAGTAAAAAAATTTCTGTATGATTTCTTAAAGAAAATTCTTAAAAAAATTGTGAAACCTTTCAGAATTCTATGAAATCTTGGTATGCAGGGTATACATATACATACGAATATGAATAGATAAAGAAGATGTTGATGACACAAGGAGTTCATACCAACGGTAAATGTTGTTTTTGTACGATTGCTACAACCTGTAGTTGTTGAATCATGGACGGTACTGACGAAAAGGTGCCATCACAAAACCAGTTTTTACAATTTGCTAAACAATGTAAATGTTCTCTTGTCGCAAATATTAGAAAACGTTTCTTATTACCACCACTATCATGCAATAAAAATTGTTCACCAGTCTGTGTCCAAATCTTTCCTACTTGCTGGTGTTAGTATCGGAGGATTAACCGCTTGCCTTACTCTTTGAACAGTACGAATCAATTGTGCCACGGGGGGTAATTGTGCTGCTGTTTCTGATGAGACGCCCTGTAGGGCCTGCGTAATAATGGCACCAGTCTCAGTGCCTATAGGCTGTCGGCAAGGGCTTTTGCATTGTGGACAACTTTTCGTGACTTCACATCAGAAATATCAGGTGTGTATGCCCACTTTCAGATAATGTGATGATTTTCCCTAAAGAAATGGAAAATAATTTAAAATATGATATTGTGATGTGATGATTTAGTGATGAGTTATTGCCGTCGAAGTACCCATTGAATTTTTGATTACATTTTAGTTACCTGCTGGAGTGCTTGTTGTCGTGTAAATGAGGCAGCTGCATTGTTTTTTACATCCATATTTAATATACCTCCAGGTCACTTTGTAAGGATTTTCACGAAGCAGTTGATAGAGATAATTCTTGTATAATAATAAGGGTTTACCTTTTTGACTAAGCACAAAATACAAAGGCATGGCGTCAACGCAAATAAAATAGCGAAACTGAATAGTTAAATTAAACAATTCAAGTAGAAGCGAGCATTTAGTTTCTCCACCTCACTCTAATAGGCTGACTTTGACAATGTCATACCAAAAGAATCATACTCCGTTATTAAAGAGTATTTTTTAACTTATCAACTTATATCAGTGCATAACACAACTACATACAGCTATGGCCATAGATTTAGCACCAATATTGAAATAATTTTGTTTGCAACTTATGTTTATTATTTGTTTTTAATATAATTCAATCTACATATTACCGAAATCATGGCGCAAGAAACTGGCGAAGTAATAAAACAGCTTTCTCGCTTTATTTTCTGTCAAAATTCGAAAAAACTGTCATCAACATTTCAAACTTCTGTGGCCATAGCTGTATTTATTGCATCACTACGGGCGAGGTTATGCAGACGGTCACCGGCTGTATTGGTTCCCAATTGTTGTTATTTCTTAGTCGAAATCATACAAACATATACATATATGTATGTATGTACATACATACGTATGTATGATTGCATACAGAAAAATATATGGCTCTACATAGAACAAAATTTTAAGTGAAAATAACTGCCGCGGCATTATTAAAGTGATATATACTCTTAAAAAAAATGGTTGAGTGAGTGATTGAGTTTATATTGTTTAGCGCATAATATATATTGGCTACTCCGTAGTGCGATGCGAGAGAGAAATGCGATGCGATAGAGAAATGTGATGCGCTAGGCAATTGCATAGTCTAGGTTAGACACGGAAACTTTTGTTGCCGCGAAGATAGGGCGACGAGGAAAGAGGAAGGGCACCGAGTTGCTCGTGCTCGAGCAACATGCTTTGTGCTCTCATTCGCGCTATTGAATACACCAAATTGTCACCTTCTATTTCGGCGAATTAATATTCACCTACCTAATGCACTGACTGGGTGCAACAACACTGCAAAGTGCCAAACCAAACAAATAAATGACCGCATAAAAGGAGATGACAAAAAACCAAGCAATCAGAAGACGGTTGGGTGAGGATTATAATTTTTGCTTGTGTAATTTTAGTTTGTGTTATTTTTGTTTGTGTTATTTTTGGTTGTGTTATTTTTGTTTGTGTTATTTTTGTCAGTGTTATTTTTGACAGTGTTATTTTTGTTTGTGTTATTTTTGTGTGTTATTTTTGTTTGTGTTATTTTTGTTTGTGTTGTGGTGACATGGAACCGTGACGACCTAGCCGTATTAACCCCTGGCCATTTTCTGATCGGCGATTCATTACTTGCTCCACTTGAACCAGCTGTTTTGGATGTCTCGCCTACTCGACAATATTTTAAATTACAACGACAACTTCAACAATTTTGGAAGCGCTGGTCTTCGGATTGCCTTAGTCATTTACAATCGCGACCCAAGTGGCGCAATCAACAACCTAACTTGAGAGTAAATGACCTCGTCATCGTGAAAGACGATCGTTTACCACCGAATCAATGGCTAATTGGAAGAATCGTCGATACTCATCCCGGAAGCGATGACTTGATGCGTGTTGTTACCGTTCGTACCAAAAATGGAAATTATAACCGTTGCGTGTCGAAGATTTCTCGTCTACCCATCGATACACCTTATGAGCACTCAATGTAGTACACACTCTCGTAACATAAATAGCCTCTTTTTCTTTTGTTTCCCATCAGATCTAGCAAATACCACAGTAGCATCAAGCCAGCATAGAAACTATATATGTAACAGCGGCGTTTAACATTTACCGTCAATTCTGTGCGGATCATTTATCGACTATGGGGATTCGTATGCCACGGATATGGCATAGCGGGCCGGCATGCGTGAACGCACCTTACAATTCTAAATTTATTTATCTAAATCACTCACTCTGGGAGCTACATCCACGAACGAGAAGCAAAATGGATCATGCGATAGCGTGCTCATAGTGGAGCAATGACGTTCTCTTACGCCCGCGCTATATATATATGTACATATGTGTACATACACGAATACCTCTTCGAGCTAAAGAGTTTTTGTCAGTCGCCGTTCTACAGTCGTCATCTCCACTACAAAAATTTATTTCCTGACAGTTTTATTTGTTCATTAAACTAGCATAATTTATAAGTTCCAACTACAATAAAACAATATCAGTTTATTTGTTGTAAAGACTAAATATCGTTGTTAATAAAGACATATTAATTAAAAATAAAACTAACTACAGCTGTCGGCTTCACCCTTTGTACACTGCGAATCTGCGCACAAACATATGCATATACATACATGACCTGTTCAACCGGCCTCGTCTTAGATAACTAGTGCAATTATATACATGAAAAATTTAATTCAAACGAAGTATAAGGGTTTGTCGCTTAATCTCACTCAACCTCGGAAGCAATAGACGTATTCAATAGAAATATTAACGCGATAGAACGCAAAACGGTTAGATGACCCTGTTCGGAGACCGCACGGGTTTTGGGCGGCAAAATTCACCCTACGTAGCCTACCACCTACAAGACGTCTTGTGCGGGTGTGCCAAGCCAATGTAGTTTGTTCACCCTACCAATCTCCCCCACCTGCTTTTCTAACTTATACCCGGACTCTCCTCAAAAGCAATTCGTAAATTCGTATGTGTGAGACTGCGCGAATAATCCTGATTAACAAACCTAGCGAACTAGACTATGAACTATCTCAGCGAATAACAAATTGGATGAACTAGGAAAATAAAACGTTATCAAGGAAAACTTAAGCTACTTTACGTCGTCGTTGAACTTAAGGAGTATCGCCTTAGGATTAAGTTGTTTTATAATGGTTGATGATGATCACAATATAATAACCACGTGCTTATTTAAAATCGCCTGGTGCGGCGCAACTGCCGGTTGCAGCTCTTGCACGTAAATTTTCGCGCACACTAACTTCGCGATTTCTGCCGTCAAAATTTGCTATGCACCCGAAATCACGTGTAAAAACTTACAGGCTCACCGGACACTCTGGGTGCTGCTGGAAATTTTCCTCGAGACTAATCTGTCACTCACGTACCCTTGCTCTTCAGATTTGCTGCCATGAAGGCTCAACATTCAGCATGCAACATAACTGAAGGCTCATAAAGGAGTTTCTGGAGCCACCCAGGGCCTGACCATGGAGGTATAAATTCAAGACGCAGAGGATGGCCGCTCCCAAATACAGAAAGAGTACTCCCTAGGCGCACACCGTACACGCGCCCTGTTGCCGGCAAAATTCTGCTGGTGTAGGAACTTGGTGTTCTTCGCTCACTCTCTTCTGCGTGATGGTTTCGCTTCAACCTGGACAGGTGCTTTCGACAGTTCAGCTGGTGCCGCCAAGGAATTGTTTGCTGCTTGTCTTTGGCTAAAATTAGAGCTCCGAGAATTGCTTCCACCTCAAGCAACTATTGCCGGAAAAGGAAAGAATGTGCTGGAGATTCTTTGCACGTAAGAAATTTTGTCAGTGAAACGTGAAATGTCAGCTGAGTGGGAGGTGTTCGGTAAAGGTGGCTCATGGTCGCATTTGCGCCGGCCAAATTTGTTCTAAATCCGTGTGACCGCAACAGGGCGAGTGATTTAGCTAAGGCTGCGATGATGAAGCGCTCGAAAAGCTGGTCTTATTTTAATGTCTTTGTAATGTCTAGATTATGTTCGGAGATCTTTCGCGGGATAGATACCGACGGAACGCCCTCTTACGTCGCCTACCTCATATAAAGAGATACCCTTAACGGCAAGAATAACCGACTTGAGATACTTAGCTGCGAGTTTCGCATTATATCCTTCGACATCATTGCTCAGCTTAAAGTTCTTCCGGTAAACAGTCTGGCCCTCGCGATATACAATTGGACGA